GTCGTTCAGCTTCTATTGTGCAAGGATGGGATTGTCAAATTTATCTAGGTAGCTTTAGGTATATTATTGGCTGAAATATGCCCAGTATTTCTTATGCACTTTTCATTTTTGATTTGGTTCCTTCTCTCGGTGACAATATGAGAACATACATCGATATGTTTACCGTCAGTGTCAAAAGAAATAAAACGGAAAAAGAAGTGGAAAATTATCCTGCATGCTTTACGGCTTATGATTTAGTTTCTGGATTGTCGGGTTATGTTAAACCTTGAAGTATTCTTTGACAGACCTTGTTGCAATGTGGTATTTCAGAGAGGAGATAGCCCCTGCTGTTCTACTGGTTGTGGATTTTGGTGGGTGGTATAGACTCGATACGAAATCATCCGATGGTACCTCATAAGACATGATACGTCACTCCCAAGTTTCATTGCTTAAAGATGTGATTGTCCCATATACTCATCTGCTTCCTCGGTTGCTGCTGTCGGAAAACCAGAAACGACACACCCTCCTTTGTTTTAAGGGAGCTAAACATAGGCACCGGGTTAGCATCCTACAACCCAACACCGAATCTAGCTGCTCTATGTTGTGTCCCGATAATAATATTATTTCCTTCTTGAATGGATACAGTCATAAAGTTCAAAACTTTAAGCTTCTTTTGCTGAGTTAAATGTTATCTAAATTTGCAGGGTGGCCTAGTTCGAGAAAAATTATGGGACTTGTTGGTTAACGAACCGGGAGTCGTTATGGAAGAAGGGTTCCCTAATGCCACCGGTAGAGAGCAGTCAATTAAGGGGATGAGGACATCCGAGTTCTGCTTGCACCCTGCTGGTGATACTCCCACTTCATGCCGACTCTTCGATGCAGCGACAACATCGAGCTGCCCTTTGAAGGGATGCTGGATTACTCCACGTTTTCAGTTTTCGTAGCAGTGAGTGATGCTTTGAAACCAAATTGGCTTGTTTCTCATCTTAGAAGCATTTCTGAGAAACAGAGGAACAAACTCCGTCGAGCCATGGCCGAGGTTCAGCCCGTTTTTGTGTATGATAACGGTCATCCGGGCGGTATTGGGCCAATCCCACCGGATGGTGCCGTAAATCATATTTGGAGAAAGGTTCATAAAAAATTGCCTGCGATTAAAGAAGCCGTTGTTCGTGAGAAACGAAAACCGGCGACTACATCGACCCCCCTACGATGCCATTGCACATGAATGTAAGATTAAAGATTCATTTCATGTTGTTCATTCTTTTTTCAGATTGCATAGATGAGAAATGCAGTGGTTCTAGTTTTGTGCTTATCGGAGTCAAAGGTTTTAATACACCAAAATTAGTTTTGTAATAGTTTTAGTTATTGTAAGTTTTAAAACATATAATTTAATGATCTAATGTTTTATCGCATATAAATATAAATGAACGTAATTGTTCGAATTCAAGGCCTCTAGATAAAATAATATTCTTTTTTTTTTACTGATGAAGTTATTGAATGGGTTGAAATTCGTATTATTTTAAGTCTAACTTGATGTTACAATGATGATGATATTTTGAAAGGTATAAATATTTATCAACACCTTACTAAATTGTTTTGTAATAGTATCTTGCTTATTATGGTTTACTGCATTGTTGTGAATGATTAACTGCTAGGGTTGAAAAGAGTCGATGTAAATTGCAAGTTAATTGAATTTGAATTGGTTAAAACTTTATAAATATTCGATTTAAATGGACTTGAATTCTACTCGAATTTTTAACTAGCTGAAATGAGTTATTTGACACTCGACTTGAAAAGCTTGCGAGTAATTTGAAAAAAAAAATAATACATTAACATTTTATTTTTAATAAATTAAATCATCAACAATATTAACATTTATGTGTTGGGTTTTCTTAAAGAAGGTAATATGCAATTTTTATGTACTTAAGGTTCATGTTCGTGTTCAAGTTTGAGCTTCAACCGAGTTAAGTTTAAGATTTTTTTTATTTCAAGTTTTTTTGAGCTTCAATTTATGTTTCGAGTTAGATTTAAGCTTGAAAATTTTAGACTCGTGAGTTTTTGATGCGAGTCGAGCTTCATTTTAAAGTTCTCGAGCGAATCGAGCTCAACAATATTCAAGCTTGACTAAGCACGACTCGTTTACAGCCCTATTAACTACTATGTTATCTATTATTTAATATGATATTGTTAATATGTCAATGCAATTAAAGAGATTATTGTTATTTCTAAATGTCTCGGGTTCGAGCATATCATATGTCCGGAGGGATGTTTAAGCGTTTATTATCAAATTGATTTAGAGTCTTTCAAACAGATAATACCTTGTAATCATTCTTAGATTAATAAAAATTATTTATATACTAATAATTTATTAAAGTTTACATTAACTTAAATATTCAAGCTTATAATTATCTAACATGTTATATCATAAAATTAAGGGTAAAGTATACAAATGATCTTTGGACTATATGACATTGTTTTGTTAAGTCTTTCAACCATTAAAAGTTACAAAATGGACCTCAACTATAGTGCGCTACTTCATCGAGTCTTCTAACTATTTAAAGTTATAAAATTTTAGACTCGCGAGTTTTCGATGCGAGTCGAGCTTCATTTTAAAGTTCTCGATTCAAATCGAGCTTAACAATATTCAAGCTTGACTAAGCACAACTCATTTACAGCCCTATTAACTACTATGTTATCTATTATTTAATATCATTGTTAATATGTCAATGCAACTAAGAGGATGATTGTTATTTCTAAATGTATCGGGTTCGAGCACATCGTATGTAGGGATGTTTAAGTGTTCATTGTTAAATAGATTGAGAGTATTTCGAACATATACTACCTTGTAATCATTCTTAGATTAATAAAAATTATTAATATACTAATAATTTATTAAAGTTTACATTAACTTAAATATACAAGCTTATAATTATCTAACATGTTATATCATAAAATTAAGGGTAAAGTACAAAAATGATCTCTGGACTATAAGACATTGTTTTGTTAAGTCTTTCGACTATTAAAAGTTATAAAATGGACCTCAACTATAGAGTGCTACTTCACTGAGTCTTCTAACTATTAAAAGTTACGTAATTGTCGTTTGACTATTCATATGTTCCAAATTAGTCCTTTTTCGTTAAAGAATTGACAGTCATCTGAGCTGGATGTTAACATGTTACTAAGACATGATAAAATCTGATCTCAGAATCAGTTGAGTTGTATTTTGTGGATTGACTCTTCATTTACATTATGTTATCAAGTCAGTGCATGAAACATTATGTCGTCGAGCCAGTGTTTGAAAACAACAACGATGCTAGTAGACATCTTTAAAATATGATTTTATCATATCTCGGTCAACATTTAACGCCTAACTCATAAGACTGTCATGTTAACGCCTAGAGGTCCTAGCAACATCACGAGCTGTGACTCCAACTGTAGCAATCCGACTACGAGGATCGAACGCTCCGTTCACATTGATTTTTTTTAAATAAAGAGTAATATTTAGTAGTTAATTCATAATTAAAGTGACAGATATTACCATATGTTGATAGATTTTTAAAAATAAAAATTTAATTAATTTAAATATAAATAAATTAGATAGTTAATTTCATAATAAGTACCCAAACTGTATCAATCATTCTAAATCAATCCCTATAGTGTAAAATATTCATCAATCTTTAAATTATGACTTTCATTCTAAATTTGTCCCTAAATTTTATTTATTTTTACCAATTCTCAAACTATCGATATTGTTTTATTTTTACCAATTTTAAAATATTTAATATTTTTGAAGGTATTAAAATCTTTATAAAAGGTTTGTTTTTGAAGGTCTTAAAATCTTTTTAAAAAGTCCCGAGTTAAGATTTCGTACATTCAAGAAACATATTAAATTTAGGGTAAACTATATCTTTCAAACTCATCATTTTCTGTTAAAAAAGTAACAATTGTCTAAGTTGTATGTTAGCATGTTGACTGAGATATGATAGTCTTTTCAGATTATGAGATCAAATTTTATCATATCTTAGCCAGCAAAGTAACATCTAGCTCAGACGGCTATCAAATTTTTAATCGAGTTCGGAACATACGAATAAACAACTATTTTGTAACTTTTAATAGTCGAAGAACTCGAAAAAATAATACTCTATAATTGAGGGATCATTTTATTATTTTTAATAATTGGAGACTTAATAAAACATCCCTTTAATCGGAATCATTTATGTACTTTACCCTAAAATTTAAAGGTTATTTTGAATTATCCATGTAATGAATACACAAAATTAAATTCGATCCAAAAACTATAAATATATTTCACGTCATATTTGCATCTAATGTCCAAATTGATAACTAGAATGGCATAACTACCAAATTGATATGCTACTGATACTTCGAGAACAAATAAAATATTTTAAGTTTGGGACTAATTTTGAACATAGTTTGAAGACGTTTATTGAATTAAGGCTTAATATCAAAATAAGTGCCCAAATTATACCTTAATTCTTTAATAGGTACCTAAATTATTTTTTGACACATCTATGTGCGTAACATTACAAATGTTACTATTTTATTTTAGGTGCCCAAGCCGTTAACTGCGTTAATTTCTCCCGTTAAGTGACATGTGTAACATTTTAGTAATTTTAAATTTTATTTTTTTTAAAATACTATTATATTTATAAAAAAACATAATTTCTCTTAAATTATAAAAAAAACTCAAAATACCTAAAATCCCAAATCATATCCTTAACCCGGCCACGACCATCACGGCCAACGAAACCCCTGCCATCCTCCTAGTCATACACCGTCGTAGTTGCCGTCAAAATCGCGTGAGATTACGATTTTCATACTAAGAATTGCAGGGTATAAAACGTTGATTCGACATCGATCAGTCGTGTTTTTCTTTAAAAGTTTTGTGGTTATTTTGGTATTAGGCCTTGAATTAATCATTATTTTATATATGCGCTTTCTTCTTCCTATCCTAACCTTTTTCTGCGTTTGATCATAGCTGAGAAAATAAAACAAAACAAATGCGTAATCGTTCGCAAATCTCACTGTGCAAATACCTTCTGAGATACCCTCTTGAATCTTATCCAAAACCCACGTCTTCGTTTCTCATCAACTCGCTTCCAGCGATTCCTACTCAACTCATTCCCAGCTCAGTCCGATATCCAAAGCCCAGCCTTTTCCAGCAAACGTTCCAAACCACAGAAAACATCCGAGTTGGATGTGAACAAGGAAGTCGATTCAATCAACCTCAAGTTCGTGGAGGCAAGAGAGGAGATAGAGATGGCACTGAGTCGAAAGCATCCGAGTTGGATGTGAACAAGGAAGTCGATTCAATCAACCTCAAGTTCGTGGAGGCAAGAGAGGAGATAGAGATGGCACTGGAGTCTAAAGAGACTGTTTATTTCAATGAAGAAGCAGAATCTGCTCGTGCTGCTGTTAAGGTGGTTATGGACATGTTTGAAGGGCTTTTAGGAAAGCTACCTGATTCGGAAAAGGCGGCTTTGCAGCGCTCCATGGGACTCAAGATAGAGCAGCTCAAGGCTGAGCTTCAGCAGTTGGATGATTGATGAGGTTAATTCTATTGGAACTTTGAATCTGCTTTGCTTCATTTGTCACACTTGGTAGAGAACTAGAGATGAGGGATTAGTGATTTTAGAAGTGACAATTAAAGCTTATATGATATTTAATGATGTGTTATGATGTTATGGTTCTATGGTTAGGAATTAGAGGTTAATTCTATTGGAACTTTATTGGAACTTTGAATCTGCTTTGCTTCATTTGTCACACTTGGTAGAGAACTAGAGACGAGGGATTAGTGATTTTAGAAGTGACAATTGAGCAGCCCATATGATTTTTAATGATGTGTTATGATGTTATGGTTCTATGGTTAGTGATTTTTATATGATTTAAAGCTTATATGATTTTGATGATGATGATGATGATAAAGGAGAATTTGTAGCATTTAGAGGAAACTATTTTAGAAATTTTGTGAACTTGTATAATCTAAGATGATGATGCATGCTTTTTGTTGCTTTATCTGATGTAATTCAATAGAAATTGATGGCTTTTTTGGAAGTTAATGCTCAGACTAGGCTGGTTATTGATTTTGCCTGAACATTTAGGCCATAGTTCAGAGAGTCAGATGCACAACCGGAGAATTAACTTGGTTCTCTACATCGACCGTTGTTTACGTTCTTTTCAGCTTTTCCATTCAGGCTGGTTCTCTTGGTGCTACGTCTACACTCTATTCTTCTTTCTCTTCGAGACCTCGATCTGGTTTCTCAAGGGAAGAACCAAGTTCGGGCTGAAGCTTCCCGCAATGGTTTGTGCTCGAACGTTTTATGTTTGGACTGTAATCCTCACTGGCACTAGAGCCTTAGATTTCATGGAGGGACTTGGCTTAAAGGCCAGCCACATATTTTAGAGCCTCGGGTTTTATTGAGTTTTCGTGCTTGTCTTGGTTGCTTTTGAGGCCTTTGTTTCTTCGTTATGTTGATGCTTAATGCTGCATGCCTCCTTGTGTTCTTTGCAGATTATATGCTTTTTTCTTCTCTCGTGGTGATGCTCTAGGTTTGATTTGAAGTATCGAATTTGATTAGGTTTCCGTTGCATTTGGTTCGATTTTGGTTTGAGTAATAATTAAATATATTCGATTCGGCTCAGATAATGTTGCCTTCTGGCTATCTAAGTTACCATATCTTATGCCATACTCGGCCATAGGCAATTTTTCTAAGTTTCTTCTGTAGGTTGCTAGTAAGCCTATGCATTTCCTTCCAGGGCAGGATAACTCCGAGTGATAGGGTCAATTAACCACTTAATTCAAACAAAAACACTTTCTTCCGTAATCCAAGTCGAGTACACAAGCATTCGTAACCACGAAAATGAAGAATCTCGATACGAATATTCATACAACATTTGAACAGTAGAGATCATGTTGATGTATTATTGGATTATGCAAGACTTGAATATTGAGATATTATTGATCTTCTATCACATATGTACAGCATACTTATATACAGAAGGAGAATTCAAGAAAACAACTCTAATAGGAGCTGTTAAGCCTAACAAACCACAACCATTCCATAACAGAATTACAGCTCATCAATTAACCAGCTCAGCATTAATTTACTTTCTAGAAGTCGCAAGCTAAATATGCAGTATGCCTCTTCCTCTAATATTCTTTCTGCTTCTTTCCTTCTGTTGATTAACTTTGCTGCACACACATTTTGGCTCTGAATTCTTCAAATGTAGCCTTAGACAAAGGTTTTGTGAACCCATCAGCTGCCTGATGCATGGCAGGAACATAGTTGACACAAAGTTGGCCAGCTGTCACCTTCTCTCGAACAAAATGTATGTCAAGCTCCACATGCTTCGACTGAGCATGGTACACCGAATTAGCACTCATGGCAACTGTGCTTGTGTTATCACACCAGACGATGGGCGTGCATTTTTGCTTAACACCAAGATCATCCAACAGAGCAGTGAGCCACGTGACATCTGCAGTGGCGTCTGCAACGCTCTTGTATTCGGCTTCCATAGTGGATCGAGAGACTGTTTTTTGTTTCTTCGACGACCATGTAATCAAGCATGGCCCTAAGAACACTCCGAATCCCGAAATAGACCGTCGATCATCAATATTGGAGCCCCAATTCGCATCAGCGAAAGCAACCACATCTAAACTTACAGCACAGGAAGGAGAAAAAACCAAACCAAAATCCAAGGTAGCAGCCAGGTATCTCAGTATACGCTTAACTGCTGTAAGGTGCAAATCTCTAGGGGAGTTCATGAATTGAGCAACTTGCCCAACGCTGAAGGAGATGTCAGGCCTTGTATGACAAACGTATAGAAGAGAGCCAACAATGCTGCGATATTCAGTTGCATTGGTGATCAATACCCCCTCATCACGTGAGAGTTTGGAGGAAATAACCATAGGTGTACTGCAGCCAGCAATATTTACCATACCAGTTTTCTCTAAGAGCTCCTTAACAAATTTCTTTTGACTCAAGACAACATTCTGACCAGATCGTTTGACTTCAATTCCCAAGAAGTATCGTAACTCCCCTAGATCTTTCAGTGAAAATTGTCCTTGAGTATAGCCACAACTTCTTCTACATCAGTCAACGAACTTCCTGTAATAACAATGTCATCGACGTATACGAGTACGTATATGAAACCTTGAGGTGAACGTTTGTGAAATAAAGAGGGGTCAGCACGAGACACCATAAAATCCATTTGTACCAGATTTTGTTTTAATTTATCGTGCCAATTCCTGGGTGCCTGTCGCAGCCCGTATAATGCCTTTTGAAGTTTGCAAACAAACGGCTTACCATGTTCATTCACTTTCTCGAAACCGGGGGGTTGCTGCATGTACACTTCTTCGAGCAAATCCCCATTAAGAAAGGCATTATTAATGTCTACATGCCTTAGAGTCCAGCCATTGTTGACTGCAACTGCAAGGATTGCATTAAAGGTCGAGAACCGAATGACAGGGTTGAACGTTTCTTTGAAATCACAGCCAGGTATTTGCGAGAATCCCTTGGCTACTAAACGTGCCTTATAACGCTGCACCGAGCCATCTGGATTGTGCTTTACTTTGAACAGCCATTTGCACCCAACAACACTTCGATCATCTGGCAAGGTAGTTAAAATCCAAGTATTATTTCTTAACAGAGCATCATACTCATCACAAGCTGCTTGTTTCCAGTGTTCCATCTGAAAAGCCTCGTGTATTGAGTTGGGGACATAATCATCGTAAGTCGCAGCATATGCCTTTGGTTTGAACACACCACATCGGCTGCGAGTCATCATGTGGTGAATTTGTTGAGGTGCACATGGCTCATCATTAGAAGCAGGAGCAGTTTCTTCAGGTGCTAAGTCTAGCTCAGCATTGATCACATCGTCCTGGTTAGAGAGTAGATCAGAATCATCATTAGTAGGCTGAGTAGAGAAAGAATTCTCATGTTGATGCGCGGCAGGAGAACCGGCACTGCTAGAGGACTCCAAGGGCGAAGGCTCCAAGGGCATCGAAACTTCATTACCATTGCCTGCATTATTAGAAATTTCAACATCATTCCTTGCATCATTTGATATTGATTGGGAGACTTGATGATGCGTGGCCTGGAACAAAGGCTGTCTGGAATCTGCCACTATACTTAGCGATGGTAACGTGGAAGGTGCTTTCAAGATATGTGCATCAGTATTAGTATCAGCACCTGAAAAAGGAAACACAAATTCGTTAAAAACTACATGACGAGAAGTGTACACTCGACCATCTGGGGCCAGGCATAGATAGCCTTTATGTTGTGGGCTGACACCAAGATACACACACACACTCTTGACCGAAAAGCAAGTTTGTGATTCAGAAATGGTCTCAAGTTAGGGAAACATTGACAGCCAAATACTCTCATCATCCTATAGTCAGGTTTTTTATGCATGAGCTTTTCAAAAGGTGACATCCCTTGAAGAACCTTAGTAGGTAATCTGTTAATCAAATGTACTGCAGATACAACTGCATAAGACCAATACTTGATTGGCATGACAGATTGAGCAAGTAAAACGAGTGCAAGCTCCACAATGTGACGGTGCTTTCGTTCGACTACACCATTTTGCTTGGAGGTGTGTGGACAACTCAACCGATGGACAATGCCTTGCTTGGCCAAGAGAGGAGACAAACTGCGAAACTCGCCCCCCCAATCACTCTGAACTGCCATGATCAAGTAACCAAACTGCCTATCAACAAGCTTTTGAAACAAATTAAATGCTACAACAGCCTCATCTTTGCTTTTCAGGAGATAGAGCCAAGTATGTCTAGTGAATGCATCAACAAACGAGACATAGTATCGAAAACCATTAGATGCAATATGTGGAGGTCCCCACAGATCTGTGAATACAAGTTCAAATGGAGTAGAAAAAACAGTATTTGATTCATTAAACGGCAACTTGTGACTCTTGCCCATATAGCAAGCAGTACATGCTTTGTTTACATCGAATTTTAATTGGAAACCAAGGTCATTAGACAAACTAGCTAATATAGGAGCTGCCGGATGTCCAAGACGCCTGTGCCACAACTCACCGACGGAATCTTTAACATATGTAGCATGCACCTCAGCCATACAAGCAGCAGGGGCATCATTATTAATCGTAAACGAGTAAAGTCCACCACTCTCTTCACCTTGAAGCAACAAACAACTAGTCTTCTCATCACGGATACAACACCGATTGGCATGAAATTCAAGGTAAACATCATTGTCCTTAGCAAGCTTCGAGACCGAAAGAAGATTCTTAGTGATTTGAGGTACATGCAATAAATCATTAAGCAAAAGGACTCTAGATGCTAAAGAAACTGAAGATCTACCAACCAGATTAACATTAAGAGGCATATTATTGCCAACAATTAATTTACCTAGACCACTAAATTCAGAAGGTTCCAGGATATTTGAAGCTTCTGTGGTAACATGATGTGTTGCCCCAGAATCGACCACCCACCTATCCGAGCCATGAGCAGAATTAATCACGTTAGCTTGAGCCACCCATGAGGAATTAGGACGTCCTTTGCCACAGCAATTAC